CATCCCATGACCTGAACCTCACACTGCACGTGGGACTGTAGGTGGGAGTCCCACCTACAGTCCACCAAGTCCCACTATGGTCTGGAGTTAAAGAAGTGGGCATCCCACCAATTATAGCAAAAATTAAGTGGGAACAAGTGGGATTCCCACCTAACAAATACATTTGCAATTCAAAACATCACACTTCAGAGCCATATACATATCTGAGCAAGTGAGCAAACCTTGTGTGCATAATTGAGCAACAGCATGGTATGGAAGCAATATACTAAATCTTCGGTTAAATAGACAGATGAATCGATCAGATCGACTAAACCTTCAGTTACAGATACGGATGAATCGATCGAATGCACTAAACCTTCAGTTACATATATGGACGAATCCACTAAACCTTCAGTGACTACTGATCAAATAGACATGCGACAAGGATACGTTGGCCGCCAAGTCAGGCTTCATAGAACAAATTTTCAGTCCTTGGACAACTTTTTCTTCTTTTGCCATGAGTGCATGAAGTTGACAGCTTTCTTCTTCTCCTGAAGCAACAAAGAATGCTTATTAGTAATTACTTGCACTCATGAGACAATTGTAAGGTGAGATATTTATTTAAATAGCAGATACATAATATATTTGATTATAGTATGAATGTGCTTACAACTCTCCATTGCTATCACTAAACAGGTCTGGGCATCAAAGAGAGTATTTGATTCCACCATCGCTAGAATTATATGCCACTAAATTGAAACCACCACCTTCTTGCATGCATTCCTCCCGCTTGCAATTAGTTGTGACCCCATAAACAATGTGCCACTAAATGCAATGATATAAGTTTCATAATCAATAATGTCTGAACAATATGATTTTGCCTAGAACAAGAACATGAGCGCCCTGCTGTCAGGTCAAACGCGAAGCTGGCAGTCACCCAGTCAGATGTGGTGAAGATAGTATTTTTGGTGAAGGAACAAAAAGTGTAAAGTACAACTAGCAGAATTACCTTAGGTGGTTCCAGCATGGTCTTGCTCACCACCATGGTCTCCAACTGTTGGTTCCGCCTTTTGGCGATCTGCAATATTGAAGGCATTCAAAATGAAATATTCAGCATGGAAGGTATTAAATAAAGTACGGAAAAATAATTAAAAACATATTACCATCTGCTCGAAACCAATCCTCAAGGCACATCAGCGTCTCAACAGTACTCGGGGTCAAACTACTTCTTTGAGCAGTGATGATCCATCCAGCATTGCTGAATGCAGCCTCTGCAGGCACTGTAGACGCAGACACTGCCAATATGTCCCGTGCTATAGCCGCAAGCACTGGATACTTTGGGGAGTGAATCTCCCACCACTTTAAGATATCCAATTTCTGTCGGCGAGGAAACAGGTCTTCTTCAAGATATCGTTGTAGCTCATTTGAGTTGTGGGATCTTTTCAATCTCAAATGCTTATCCCAATCATCGAGAGTGCCCTCACCATCCTCCTCTGCAACCTCATCACCTTCATCAGAAGTGTTTTCATATTCAGATGCATATTCAGCAAATAGGATCTTCATCGCACTATTCACCTTGGTAAGATATTTCTCGGCACCACCACCAAAAGTTGCGGTCAGTCGGAAGTGAACATATTCATATTTGTACCTCGGATCAAATATCACCGGCAGACAACTTGTTAAGAACGACTCCTCAAAATATTTCATCCATTTCTTCTCCATCTCTTTCACCATGGCAACAATGGTAGGATTTTCACTTGCGACTTCTTTCTCCATTATCTGCTTCACATTCCAGACCTCATAGAAGTACAGGTGAGAGGTGGGATATGTCCTACCCGAGATTTTCTTTGTGGCTGTGTAAAAAGCGCCCAAAAGATGGCAAATAGCTTCGGCCATCTCCCATTCACTAGCCGAAGGAGCAAATTTATAATCTTTGTCAGTTTCTTTCAAGGCTTCGAACGCTGCTCTGAACGGTAATGATGATTCAAGCATTAGGTACGTTGAATTCCATCGGGTAGGCACATCTAGCGAAGGATGGTTTTTACAAGCAAATCCCACCCGCGCAATCATCGCATTGAATTTCTCCATTCTGCCTTGCGAACTCTTGACATACAGCACTGATTCTCTGATTCTATCAACAACTGACGCCATTGCGTCGAGCCCATCTTGGACCACTAGATTCAGTACATGTGCAGCACATCTAACATGCAATAATTTTCCACTATGATGCACAAGATACCTATCTACCAAATTTTTTGTCAAGTGGCCAACCATCGAGGTATTAACTGGTGCATTGTCCAGGGTAAAGCTAAAGATTTTGTCTTCAATTTTCCAATCTCTCAAGCTCTTTTGCACCATGTCAAACATGTTATGAGCATTTTGTGGAGTTTCCAAGAGGCAAAATGTGATTATTCTGTTTTGTAGAGTCCATGAGCCATCAATAAAGTGGGCAGTTATGCATAAATAACCCAGCTTTTGATTGGACGTCCACATGTCACCCGTTAATGATACTCAAGAACTTAGATTGCTAAAAAGTGCTTGAATTTCTTTTTGTGTCTATCATATGCATCAATGCAATCTTGTTTAATCGTTTCTCTGCATACCACGTTGAACCATGGATTCAACGTCTTAACAAAGGACCTAAAGCCAAGATATTCAACAAAAGTGAAAGGCAATTCATGTAGCACAATCAACTTTGCCAGTGCTCTACGTGCACGCCCTTGGTCAAACTTCCACTCTGGATCAATTGCACTATCAGTTCGTATCTTGGCAACCATACCATCCATTTTAGATCTCTCCTCACATACCAACAAATGTTTACCGATATGACTTGTCCCTGACTTTTTTGAGGCAGAAAATAGTTGGTTGCAGTAAGTACAACGACCTTCTGCAAGCTTTCCATCAACATAGATTGGCTCTGCCTCGTTCCAAATTTTTGATTTTAATTTTCGTGGTCTGCGTGAACCAAGGTTTGCTACTTTGGGTGACAGAGCCAGCAGTGAAGGTTGTGATGGGGATAGTGACTTGTCCTTTTTTTCCCTTCTGGCTAAGAAGGACACTACCATGTTGTTAAGAACTGGAGATCTTACCACCTTTTTGCATAGTGATGGCTGCTTATTCTTGTCAACGGGAGAAGATCTAGGCGATGGCTTCTTATCCTTGTCAACGAGCAAAGCTTCAAGTGATGGTGTAGTTGCAACATCTCTCTGGGAAACAAGAAAAGCATACACAATAAGCTTGAGAAAGAGTCAATCTGATAGTTGTTGCAACTGAAATATCTTTCTAGAAACAAGAAAAGGGTAGACAAATAAGCTTGAGAAGGGAAATTTGATTCAGGTATAATCATTCGCAATTGAAATTCACCTTATTAAGCCTTTTCTTCTTTAGTGGTGGTGCCTGCTTATCCATCTCAACGGCCAAAGGTCCAAGCAACGGTGCCGGTGGATTAGTGCACATTCCTTCACTTGCCTGAGAGAAAAAAATTGTTGCTGTCTAATAAGTATTGCTAAATAGTAAAATAGACATAATGACTTTATGTCTATTTCTTGAACTTCGACGGCTTCATGATAAAGTAGTGTGATAATTTTACCTTCCTCTTTTTCTTGGACGTCAACGGCTTTATGACAACTTTGTTTGTTTCTTGGTGTTCTCCATGAAGCTCGCCGCTACTCTGCGTACTTCGCTTCCTTTTATAGTTTTGACAACCAATACTTTTCAAAATATATCAATTAGAAGTGTGTGGTTGGGGTCCTCGAAAAGAGCTGAACCAAAGGGCCAGGTTCTAAAATTGTTTAACAAAAAAACAGGTCCTGAACAAGGGCTAGATTCTACTAGATTCAAGAAGGGCTGGATTCTGGAGTACATCTTAAGATTCAATAATTAGCATATCGGAAAGAGATGATCAATCATCCCAGAGTCCCATTAGTCCCGACACATTGTTCTTTAAGAAAAGAGATTAAGATTCAGCATTCTGTATATCAAAATCTTATGAGCGCAAAACTGCAGGGCTATACCACACAACAACATCCTATAAGGGCTGAATCAAGTGGAACATTGATATATACCACTGCATTATTAGAATGTAATATGATGGACTTCAAATATGTAGTAATGAGCATGCAGAAACAAGAATCTTGGAAATTATCACTAGAATCCATGAGCAATCCATCAGCATCTGAATCGTACATGTCACGGTACATGGAAAGGAAATCAAGCATCTGAATGAATCTGGTGGATTACCTGTAGCCGCCGAGCTAGGGGTCTGGTTTGGCGCAGCCGCCGAGCTGGAGATCGGGTTTGGGGCAGCCGCCGAGCTGGAGGTCGGGTTTGGGGCAGCCGGCGACCTGACCATCCCGTCCGGCCGGGGTCGAGGGGATCGACGAGTGTTGATTGGGACGGCAAGAAGCTGCAAGGGAGGGGACAGTGATGCGGCGGCGTCGGCCATCAAGCGGCGGCGGCAGGAGTGCGCCTGCGCTGCAGCGCCTCCTCTGTCCAACCGGGGAGGGGCTACGTGCGAGCTGGAAGAGGCAGGGTCTGAGGAGGAAGAGGCAGGCGTGCAGCGGCGGCCGCCATCGATCGGCGACGGCGGTGGGAGTAAGCTGCGGCGCCGCCCTCCCTGCACCAGAAGTTATCGGGATGGGCTAATAGGGTAAGGTGGGATCCCAGTGGGCTAAAGGGGCTAGCCCACTTAATTTCTTCCTGGTCCAACGGGCTTCCAATAAGGCGTTTTAAGTGGGATGGGAATTCTAGTCCCACTTATTCCCACCTCCACCTGCAGCGTGACCTGAACCAAACACACCCAATAAGCCCAAAAAGAATTGGCCATCGTGAACTCAACTGTAATCCACATGTCTATCATTTGAGATTTGAAAACAAAGTCCTATTGTTGTAATAAGAAAAAAAAAGACACCGGTGGTCTTCCCGTGGAGAGGTGAACCCTAGAGCCCAAATCCGCGCCGCGCCGGAACAAACCCTAGGTGCCAAATCCGACCCGCGCCCACGCCTTGCGCCGCCTGGCAGGCATGGCCCCCTCCGCCGGCGACGCCGCCGCCGGCGACGTTCAGCGGTACCCTGCTTGGGTTCTACTCGAAAAGGAGGGGTACGACGACGACCGCGACGACGCAACCAGCGCCGCGTGCAAGACGACCGCCGGCCGCGACGTCAAGGTGGGCTTCTACGTCGTGCCCCCGCCGGAAGTCTCCTACTTCCACGTCCACCTCTCCAAGCTCGAGGGCGAGGGCGAGGACGACTTCGACTTCATGCCCCTGTTCCTCTTCTCGGCCAAGGGCCTCGTCCTCTTCCGTTTCCTCTTCATCACCCGGAGCGACGGGAGCAATCTCGTCGAGTACCTCATCTACAAGGCGGGGCCCGGCGGCAGCCCGTCGCTCGAACCCATCCCGCCGACTCCTCTGGGCAGCAGCAGGGATTCGGTATCCGTGAGCATCGTCCCCTGCCCGTCCTCGCCGATCTCTCCGTGGGGAGTGAAATTGGGCACTACGACCTCCACATTTACTCGTCCAAGACGCGCGAGTGGAACACCACACCGTTGCAGCTGCTGTCTTGCCGTCAGGACAAATGACGACCTGCCCTGTCAATTCCACAAGGCTATCGGGCTTGCAGCAGATGAGGTAGGCTGGGTAGACCTCTGGAGTGGCATTGTCACCTGCAAGGTGCTTGATAAAGACCCAGTCCTCCGACTCATCCCTCTTGCCAAACCGCACGTGGACATCCTGCAAGGCGAACCGGGGCTGATCCGGGATGTCACCTACTGCAATGGGCTCTTCGAGTTCATTGAGATGCAACATTTTTGCAGACCAGTTAATGTTGTTAGTGGTATCATCCATGATTCCAGGCCCCTCCGTGGTCTTGTAGTGGACGAAGGTATTATGGTCTCTGATGGCTGGAAGATCCGGACATGTTGGAGGATCGATGATTCATGGGACTTTTGGCTCAGGGGACACGCTGTTCATGTCGATGACTTCACAGTGGATTCTATATCGTTCCCTCGTATGTGCGATGCTCATGCTCAGGACAAGGAATTGACATTTAGGAGCCTGACAACACTTTGCCCGACCTTTGGCGTTCCTGGTGACAGACTTCTCTACCTGCTATCCAAGGTGAAAATGGATGATCACAACACATGGATTGTTGGTGTTGACCTTGCCAAGAAGATGGTGAAACTAATTCAACCTTGTGAGGACTTGGAATATCGCTGTATCGGGCCAGCCTTTGTTCCCTCTACATTCTCCTATTATCTGAATACAACTCCAGGTATTTATATTTATTGAGTAGCTGGCATTAATTAGTATGTGCTTTTGTGCATCTCACATATGAATGATGGTTCTTGCCACTAAATAGGTTTGCTTATCTATTTGGTTCTGTGTCCAATTGTGTTTATGCTGTTCCTACCTATTTGATCTTTGTACTGTAGTTTTCTTAATTGTACTTTTAGGACTTAGGATTCATGATCCGCCATGGAAAATCTAATCAACCTTGTAAATTGAAGTAGTAGCCAACAAGGGTAAAAGGTCTAGGTTTTTTTTTTCTCTAAAATAGCCCAGATTTAGGGGAATAGCACACTATCTGACTGCAATATTTTTTGTATCCGAAGTTCCGAACTCGTCAAAGTATTTCAAACTGCCTCTATTTTTCTTAAACCTTTGTTCTCCAAGAGAACTCCAAATATGCTGGGCATCCGAACAGGGCCTGGACTACACTTTTGAAATAACTTGCTGCTATTGCTGCTAAAATCCTTGATGACAACTGTATTGACCTCTTGCATTTTGTTAATGTTTTTAATCATGTCGCAGGTGATTTTTCACCCACATTGATAAACCACTCAGAGAAGACTGCCAACAATGCAAAAGTAAGTGACCTGCTTTCTTCGTCGTTTTGAAGAATTTATACCACCTAACTTTTTTATTTTCATTTTTGTATAGGTCGATGGCGATTCCTGTGTACGTGAATTAAATATACATCCTGACCAATGGTAAGTTCTACTGTGTTTGTACAACTCGTAGAAACAATGATAACGATTTGTCAATTTATCTGCCTATTTTCGTGGTTTTCCACTACTTATTATGGCAGATAACATTTCGTATCTTGCTTTTCTTGCCATTTGCTTAAGGTCATGGGTTGGGGACGACACATCTGTACCAAGCGGAGCTTGGAAAAATGGGGAGAACAATCTGGTATGCTATATTGATCGATTGTTGTAGATGTGTCCATCTTGCCATCTCCATTCACTAATATCTAACTATTATTGTACAGCCATCGAATCATGAATCTGCTGATGTACAACGGACCAGGTTACTACAGCAATTGGATTCCATTTTGATGTCATCAGGATCAGGTAAACATTGACAATGTTTGTGCTATGGTATTCTCTTTTTTACTGGTCATTGAATGGTTATGCTCCTTGTTGGGAGGCTGGAAATTTGGTAGTAAAATTTTGTCTGCAGATGTTATGCGTATAGTAGAGGGATCATTTTTCAACTTGCGACTTAGGTAGCTCCTTTTACCAGCCAGATTTGAAAATTATATTTGGAGGGAGGGAGTACTGAATCTTCTTTTTAGCATCTTTATAAACAGTGACATTGTTGAAGTAACAAAAAAACATGTAAAAACTACATCCTGTAGTTGATGTGCTAAATAATTAACAGGAGCAGGTTGTATGAACAAAGAATTCTTTAGGAATGGCAAAAATCTTTCAACTTTATATAAAAACCGAGCTACGGTTCATTGTGGCGTGTCTGAAAATACAAAAACATAAATCTAAGGAGACGATGCAGAGTTTCTAGGGCAATAAAGTCAATTGTTTTTTCTTTTGCGAATTGCAATAAAGTCAACTGTAATAAGCTGTGTAGCCCGTTTGCCAAAACTGTGACAAAGGAGGTGCTTTAACAGTTTTCACTAGCTGACGGTTTAAAAAACTGACTTCCAAAGCATCACTAACCATCCTTGATGCTTTTGCTGAAGGGTATATTCGGATGAAACGAAAACTGGAAATTGATGCTGATGGCAATTTATTGCTCCGTTTGCCACTGAAAGACCTCTTGGCACTGCTTCCACAACTAGGACCTGAGATTGCATCCTTGACAACAATGCTGCCTTGTATGGATGCTGGAGGACCATATCCCCTGCTGTCTTGGCATGATTGCTGCTGCTGCTGCTGGTAACTGTTTTCAAATCCAAATCAGGCCTACATGGTAAACGACAGTCCTGCCAATGGTTTACCAGATGATGACAATTCAGATGACATAAAAGCTAGTTTTTTCTTGTTGAATCGTCCAAGAGTAACTAAACAAGTATCAATGTATTATAAAGTTGGGTTTCTAAATAATCTGTACTAAATTATCATGACCCTTGCTTTCATGAAAACTAGTGCCCAATGGTGTATGCCGTCAGGCGTGTGATTTACTACAATGGTGTATCTGCAGTGGGTTTATATACTACAATAGTGCCTAACTAGCATACCCGCGCGGCGTGCCGCTGCCCTGTCGATACGTTGTGTTTATACATGTTATCTTTGTCTTTGCTGTATACAATGAATTTCACTTTGAAGTTAAATAACTATGTGGCTAAGGTTGTAGGCACAATAAAGGAAGTGATGCTTAGAAGCAACCAAAAATTAGACATTTATATTCATCATGTGTGGTACATATTAGGGAGCATGAAGCACATACTGATACATTTCTAATAAGATTAAACACGGTACATTCACTTCTGGTCTACAATATTCTGGTGGAGCTCCCTGCATAATTGGTTCCTGTGACGAAGTGGTAAAGGGCCTTTGTAAATTGTTGTTGAGACATCATGTGAAATTTTTTATGACGATTTTAAATTAAGTGCAGGTATTCCAAGGCAGCTTGGGCAACATCGCCTTGCTGGTGCATTTCGATGATCTTTTTGAGTGCAGACTGGGCAACATCAATCGAAATTAGACAGCAAAAATAGTACTGCCAACATGCACCTCCGCTTGAGTAAAATTGACTAAGATGAATGCTATGTCCTACTGATGACAGTGCTAACATAAGCAAATGCTTTCATGAAGCAAATAACCAGTCTATGGTATTTTAATAAGCTTGGTCAGTACTGCATGAAGGCTGACAACTAATATTTTACAATTGTTCCCTCCATTCAAACATAAACATTACTACCAATGACTGAAAATAAAATAGATGGCGGTGTCTCCTTTTCTCCATCCCCTCTCCACTGAGAGGTCAGCCACGATCATAGCTGACTCAAAGTGATGATATACATTTCCCATATGAACATGTTACACGGAGAAGAAACTGCAGAAATTTCTCAAAAATGAAGGCGAATCCACATATGCTCTGTAATTATGCAGTGGTTTAGTGGTATGACTCTGCTTGAGAATGTGCATGCTGACACAAACTATTATTTATGCACGCATAACGCCCAAATAGATCTCAATTTGCTAGCCTAACTAATCCATTCATGTTGCAAAAAGAAAAAAAAAAGGAAGGAAGAAAGTTCAAGAAATTGGATATGTTCACAGCTGGATATAACAGGTTCAGCTTAAAATAAAATAAAAATGCTAAAACCCAAGTAGATAAAATAATCCACTGTTCTGTCTGTTGACATTAACATTGGTAACTTGCCATAATATGGAATCATTTCAGAGTGCCACTCACCTACATCAAGTATAGTTTATACCAAGCATGCAAGTATTTGCAGTGTTAGTTACAGAAAAGGATGGGAGCAACACTATGCACCTTCAGTTCGAGAGCTTGTTCAAAAACCGTCGAAGGGAAGCTCTATTTCAGTAGAGGCCTCTTGGCCACTGCTCTTGGCCGTAGCGTACCTATGCATGTATTGTTGAGAGGCATGTCCAGCAACATTGCTATTTCATCTGAAATAGAATACTTTGCAAAAATTATGCAGCAAGGGAGATACCTAATTACCTTTTCCTGATAACACAATCTTAATCAAGGTCAAAGAAAGAGAGAACATCCAATGAATAATCTTGATTGCAATTCATGTCTAGATTTACTCCATTGACATTAGAATTTAGAAGTGCAATTGTTAACCAAAGACTGACATTATAGCTTTATCAAGTTACTCATGATGGACACATACAGAGTCAGGCTATAGCGATTAATCAGGCGTGTAACTGAACCAAATTATAGCAAAATGAATTCGCCGCGGTGGATCTTGTACCGAAATTGTTCTCCGGTCTCTCCTTCGTCGTGCTGCTCAACGTCTCTGCCAACAAACACATAGGAGAAATACCGCAGCACGGGTAGATCAACACGCTGCCGGGGAGCCAGTACGCCAACGACACTGGCCTATGCTACGTATCGGTGCTGCCATGCAGCAAGCCAGCGACCGGCTGCCAAGAGCAAGCATGTCTGGCCTCTTGGACGCTGCTCCTGGCCGTGGTGGTCACCACCGGGCTAGCATGTGCTGCGTCGATCTGGGCAGATGCAGGGTGGAAGGCTTCATGTCGGGTGTCGTCCTCCGCCGCCTCACGCTCCCGTAACAAAACAGCGTCGCCATGGCCCTTGACTCCGGGACCCTATGGCCAGACACCCGACGGCCGTGTTGCAGGTCTTCAAAGCGTCCGCGGCGAAGATGACGCGCCACAACCTCTCGTCCGCACCGCCATGTCCCTGCACCCCTTCTGCTTCTACCGGCAGAAACCGAAGGCCCGGAGGTCATCAGGTTGTGTTCACGTGCTGCAAGCCTTCCGAAGATCGTCGACGCCGGTGGTGTCCGGCAGCAACAGCCCGATGGAACTCACGTGCCCACACACCATTGTCGCGTTCATGACCGTCGCCGTAGTCTACAATTCTGCATGCACCTCCCTCCAGAGCCTCCAGGCACCTTCTTGTAGGCGGTCTGCCATGGCGCCGCCGCCGACGGCACGGACGTCGCGGGGGTTGCCGACCATGATCTTCCGAAGATCGTCGACCACCGTAAAGACTATGTCGGAGGTAGCGGGCGACGGAGGCCGCCGTGTCCGCTAGGCACACTCCAGCGGCGATCAGGGCCTCTGCCCTAGCCGGCGTGCGCACATATGCCACCACCGCGTACCCGACGGCCTCGCTCACTGAGACTCCGCGACACCTCTGATCGGTGGAGCAGGGACTGAAAGGGCCAAACAAGAGGGAAGACGGGGTCGAGGAGAGAGGGTCAAGGTGAAGACGGCTAACACGAGGTCGATCGCAGCAGCCGCGAGCTTGAAGCGCAGACGGGTTGGATGGGTTACCGCTACTCCACGGCGGACTGAGGAATGGCGATGCTGAGAGTTAACGGTTCAGTCGTGCACGTATTTGCTACGATCCTTCGAGAGAGAGAGATGTGGATAGATGGGGAGAAAAGTGCTAAATTTTTTACAGCATCATACAACGTGGCAGCGCCAGACTTCGTAAATCTCAAGATGATATGCCGGTTCAGTCTCTCGAAGGTGCTCATAGAGATAGGGTGTGCGTGTGTGCGTTCATAGGGGTGAGTGTATGCGCGTGTATATGAGCGCTTGTGTTTGTACTGATGTTAAAAAAAACACATGGAAGGGGAAAAAGCTGCACCTGCCCACACCAATCCGCGATGGCCGAGACAATTCTGGACATGCAAATGCAACCAACACGCAGGCGCTGCATACACAAACTGCCAAAAATGCTAGTCAACAAGACCCATTTGATCTATGTTGTCAAATCAGATACATACACTCAAGCACAAACTCACAATACAACAAAAAGAATCTCTCAATCCCATGTAAAATCATTGGGCACACCCAAGATCCTACCCAGCCAGATCCCCCACTAAATAAGGTGTCGCCTCCCCACTGGCCCAAGTCAAGAAAACAAGGAAAAGGAAACCTGGCCAGGTTTAGTATATGTAATGGTGTACTCCCTCCGTCCCGAATTAAGTGACGCAGGAGAGAAATTTTTTGCACTAATGTCAGTTTTACACTATAGTCCAGTACATTTCAAACTCTTGACTTCAAGCTCCCTCCACCTTGGCGATCCTCAGCACCTCGCGATCCCCAGCACCTTGCCGGGGCAGGACCTCACAATCCCCAGCACCTCGTCGGGGCAGGATCTTGGCAGCACCTCCTCTTCCTGCTCGCTTCCCTCAAGCTCCTATTGGCGCCCCTAAAATCTCCCACCTGAAGCTGCTCGAGCTCAAAGGCTCTGCTTGCACTCCAGGATCTGCTTGCCGGAGCTCCTCCCCCTGCCGCCGGTGGAGCCCCCTCCACAAGCTCCTGCCCCCAAGCGCCCTCAAGGTCCCGCTCGCGCTGGAGGCTCTGCTCGCCGGAGCCCCTCCCCGCTAGGCTCCTGCTCGAACTCCAGGCTCTGCTCGCCAGAGCTCCTTCTACACCTGCCGCCGGTGGAGCTCCCGCTTGCCCTGCCCCACGGCCCCTACAATTCACCGCACTCCAGGGTCGAGGCTCCAGGCTCCTGCTGCTTCTCCTCCGCAGCACCTGCAATTCATCTTTTGCAAATTTAGACGGAATTTGGTGATTCCAGCAGCAACTCAATTTTAGAGGTAACTTTCCCCGAGATAAAAAAATGATTGCATGCATAATTTCAGATGGACTAACAAGACAGGTGGCTAGTACAGTGATAGTCAAATTTATGTGTGCTCGGCAATCAAAAAGTGGATCTGCTACAACAATTTTCAAGGATACAAAAACTAGAAATATGAAAATAGTCGAATAATAATTGCAAGTAAACCCCAATGCCACTTGTAAGGTGGTAATATGAAAACAGAGATGCAAGAGTATATTATCACCTAGCTAATGCTCATGTCGGTCAGGTTTGTAAGGGTGAAGTAAAATGCTCATAGTTACACTTAAAGGATTTCTTGGTGTTGCCGAGCTGCGTGCAGGAGAGCTTGATGATCCTCCTCCCCCACATCCACTTGAGCAGGATCTTCATGTGGGTCTTGTTGTTCAGGCCGTCGATCGCAACATCCTGTTCATGTTGCCATCGTTAGATATTTTTCATTAGCGCAGGCACTTGATTAGAGATAAGAAGTGGTATGACATGAGCTCTGAATCACAAGCTCTTGATTAGATATAAACAGTAGTATTGCATGAGCTCAAAATGCTGCCACAATAAGCATGTCCTAACAGTACTAGTTAGAATGCCAGAATGTGAGAATGGATAAATAGATGGTCAATGTCCAGAAGGACAGGCCATTCCCAAGC